CCAAATCACCCAAAACGGCTGCTTTTACGGAAATTTTTCGCGCGCACTGGCCCATGCGTATCTGCGACATTCCAAATGTAGTGTGTCTTTGCAGTCCGTCGGGGTCATGTGAGGAAACGTATAACGAGCCCATTCCTGGCTACGCTTTCTACCTATAATGATCAGTCTAGGAAGAAAACCACCAGTGGTGGAGAACACCGCGGATCTGCTCATTTCATGCCTCCTGACGTTGCTGGACTGCTCACAACGACATTAACGGTGAATGCGCCTTATACTTCCGGAATTAGGAAGTTTCGGATGTTAATCCACGAAGGAAACGAACCAGCCAGAAGCGGTGCTTACGAGGACACATCTGAAGAGGAAAGCACAAGGAAGTACACAGATCGTGTTGCATTCTGAATCAAGAACACTGAGAACTCATTATGTGATTCAGCAATTATGGTATTTGAATCGATTAGGTTCACCTTGCTGAACGCACAGCCCTCGAGGTGTGCATCCATTGCAGTTGGCTGGTTCAACGAAAGCACATTTGAGGCCTGGTCTACAGTAAATGTTACAATCACCTGCAAAAAAGGTTGAAAGTAACAAGTGACAAGGTAATGATGTTCCGAAACTCCAATCACTGCGAGCGCTGTGCAATTATTCAGCTCAAAGGGAACTTACTTGGCGGATTACTTATCTGTAAAGCTTCGACGCCGGTGAAGAACGCGACCAATATCAGTGAGATCTGTAACAATATAGATATAGTGTAGTTCGCTGCGGACGGTTGGGCGTGTCAGGCGGGATGAGTTTGGCGCGGTGCCAAACCCGTTCTCCACCAGTTGTTAAAGCGAGCAAGTGATATGACTGTATCATATCGTTCGTATTACTCGTTTTCTACCACTTTTTGTCGCATGCGCGCTTCAACAAGAAGGCAGAGAACGGCTTTGACGCGGTGACACATCACAGGGTACAGCATCGTTGTGTCAAACCCATGGGGGGGGTCGTATTTGTAAGACAAATTTATTTTGATAGTTGATTTTTTCTTGTGGAAAAGGGGGGTCGTATTAATTTTTTATATGCACTATATGCATTTTGTACGCCCGTGGGATATACGTTGCATAGTTATTGTATACCCCCG